GACGCGCTCCTCCCGCAAGATTGGGCTTGCCCGGTCTGGCAGGGCATTCCGCCCCGTCAGTCCCGGTCGCCAGTGGGCTTCGCACTGCATGCCAACAGGCCTTACGAGGCTGCGATTGCTTCGCATGCTTCGCGAGCCAAGCCCTGCTGGTGGTCTTTTCTGCAGTTTTGGCCCAGAGGCCGGGTTCGCTTGTGGCTGCTATCCCCTTTCCCTCTTCCTTTCCGCTGTCATGCCTCGGAGGGCAGCGTCGGCGAGCAAGCCGAGGGCGCCCACGAGAGCACCAACGGCACCCGCAGGTTCAGGAGGGGGGGCGACAACGCGAGCCCGGTCGTGAAGACCGACGGCACAGCGTCCAGGGCGCAGCAGGGCGTCGACGCGGACGTGGACGATGTCGAGGGCCGCGTCGAGGACACGGACGGCACCAGGCCCGAGGAAATCGCGAGGATGGATGGAAGCGAACGGATGGAAGCGGACGGATGGAAGCGAGGATGGATGGAAGCGGCACCGCTTTGCAATCTTTGTGCGCGCGCAGCTCAGAGACGCTCCGTCGAAGAGACGCGGGGACAGACGTGGAAATTGCATGACAATAAGTTAAGACAGGTGCCGAAGCGGACGGACGGAAGCGACGGAGGCCTCCCTGGGCGTGCTGGCGCGGTCCCCGTGAGCAGGCTCGCGGCAGGCCGCTCGCGCGTCCGCTGCGAGGCCGAGAGCCGGCGGGCCACTGGGGCGGGACCGAGGAGGGCAGCATGCCGCCCCAGAGCGGAGGCGGGCCGCGGGCACGGACGAGCGGGGCTGCGGCGGCCAGCGGCGGCAGGCGCGGGCAGTTTTCGCGGGGAGTGCGCGCCGCAGTGGAGCGTGCTCGTGGCGCTGCGGCCGCCACGGGGGCCGCGCCGCCCCTGCGGCGATGCGGGCGCGGGCAACAGCGGTGAGGGTCGCGGGGTGCACGCCTGGCTGTGGCCGCTCGGTGCGCAGTGAGGTCCTCGTTCGTGGAGGCCTGGATGGTGAGATGTCCGAGGGATCCTTGATCTCTTCTGCCTACGGTCGCCACTGCGGCACAAAAGTGGTTCTTTGCGACGTCCGCTCGAGTCCATTACCACAGCGCTTTGGCCTCGCAGCGACAATGTTCGGGTCTGGCCGTTGGCTGGTGAGGGTGCAGGCACAGGGAGGGTCCTGAGTGTTATGCGACGCCCCTTCCGCAGTACGAGCTCATCGCGACCACGTGAACCGCATGATGCCTTTCCTTCCAGAGCCAGAAGGTCGGCAACCATCCACTCATCGGTCTGTTTCCCTTCTTGTTGTCAGCGGCCAGATCCAGCGACACCCGTTTTTAAGAGTAGTCAGGGAATCAGATCCATTGGTGCGGCGCGGTTGGGGCCATATCGCACCTCCTGGGATGGCCTCGCGCACCGCATCCAAATAATCTTCACTTGGTGTCCCTCTACCGAGAGGCGTTTGGCGGCTTGCGTTCTCATGGGTTTCAGCTCCGATAGGTTCGACTCCAGTCCAGTCCGCTTTCTCGGAGTTCGCATGCGCGGTTCGACAGAAGACAGCCGATGGGCCCGCATTGTTACTCTTCGCAACCACGTGGCTTCCATATGTCTGGCTCTCTCCGTCGAGCTCCGGCGCATTATGGCATTGTCCATGTCGCTAGCTAGATACTGGGAAGGCCTAGCGGCCGGTGCCGCCGACCCTGAAGAGGGACGGAAACGACGGCGGCGGCGGCGGCAACGGCGACGATGACGACGACGCTGACGCTCTGGAGCCTTTCTTGGGGCTCTCTTGGGAGCCTCTTGGGTTCTGCTGGGGCTTGGGCTGGGCCGCGGCTGGGGCCAGGGCCAGGGCCAGGGCTGGGGCCGGGGCCGAGGCCGAGGCCGGGGCCACAGCCGGGGGTGGGGCTGGGGGCCAGGGGCCAGGGTCGGGGCTGGGGCGCTGGGGCGGGAACCCGGGCTGCGGCCCCCTGGGTTGGGCCGTGTCCGGGCCTAGGGCTGGGGCCGGAGCGGGATATTTTATATCCATGTCAATCTACCGTACCGTCAGTGTCTTACGCGTTATCTCCTCAACTACTATGGCGTCTCAGGCACCCGTTTCTGCGTTGCCGACGTAGTTTGGGAGGGCAGGGCGCGACTCACCTGCGAATTCAGTTCGCAAGTGCTTCGTGGGCGACGCGTGTCGGGCCCCCGATTTGCAGCGTGGGCGCTGGCCCAGGTAGCAGCGCCTGTTGAGGCTGCATTTGCATTGCCGCCTTCGCTTTTGGCAGCGCCGTTGGCGTTGAGTCCTGCGCTGTTGGGTCCTCGCTTTGAAGAGACAGCGCCCCGCGTCTCCTTCCGCTGCCCTCTCCTCGTCCCCCTCCTCCCTCCTCCCCCTCCTTGCCTCTGCCGTCCGCATTCGCTGTTTCGACGCGCCGTTCACACGTTTCGTGGCCCCATAGGGAGCTCCGCCGATGGCGCCAGTGGCAGGGTTCGAACGGCGCCACCGCACATACTTCGGCACACCCCTCACACGTTTCGTGGCCTTATAGGGAGCTCCACCGAGGTCCCAGTGGCACGGTTCGCATGGCTGCACCCAGTTTGGCACACCGCTCACACGTTTCGTGGCCTTAGGGAGCTCCACCGAAGACCCCAGTGGCAGGGTTCGCATACCGCCACCGCGCCCAGTTCGGTACACCGCTCACACGTTTCGTGGCCCCATACGTAAGTAGCTCCACCGAAGGCCCGATTGGCAGGGTTCGCATGGCGCCACTGCGCCAATTTCGGCACACCGCTCACACGTTTCGTGGCCCCATAGGGAGCTCCACCGAAGCTGCCAGTGGCAGGGTTCGCATGGTGCCACCGCGCCTATTTCGTCTCACTGCTCACGCGTTTCGTGGCCCCTTAGGGAGCTCCACCGAATGCGCCAGTGGCAGGGTTCGCTTGGCAGCACCGCGCCAATTTCGGCGCACCGTCACACGTTTCGTGGCCCCATAGGGAGCTCCACCGAAGGCGCCAGTGGTAGGTTTCACATGGCTGGCGCCACCGCGCCCACTTCGGCACACCCCTCACACGTTTTGTAGTCCCATGGGGAGCTCCACCGAAGGTCCCAGTTTCAGGCCTCGCATGGCGCCGCCGCACCGATTTCGGCGCACCGCTCACACGTTTCGTGGCCCCATTGGGAGCTCCGCCGATGGCGCCAGTGGCAGGGTTCGAACGGCGCCACCGCACCACTTTCGGCACACCCCTGGCACGTTTCGTGGTCCCACATGAAGCTCCACCGAAGGACCCAGTGGCAGGGTTTGCCTGGTGCCACCGCGCCCATTTCGGCACACCGCTCACACGTTTCGTGGTCCCACGGGGAGCTCCACCGAGGGACCCAGTGGCAGGGTCCGTATGATCTTACCGCACCCACTTTGACATGCCCCTCACACGTGTCGTGGCCCCGTAGGGAGCTCCACCGAAGGCGGGGCACGCAACTGCGGTACTCACACATGTATATGGTTGGTCTTCCGCCAGTATGATTTATTTTAGGTTGTTTTGGAAGGTAGTGACAAGACTTCCGCAATTAGCGCCATGTACTTAAGTCCGCTCTGTTCCACTGTGAGGTCCCGACCGACTATGTATTTGCTGTCACAATGTGCACTGTCTGGCATACCTGCTCTGAGGACCCGGAGCTGAGATCTCTGATCTCTTGTGCAGAGCCCGAGCTTGGAGAGAAGGGATGTTGCACGCCTTTCGCCACTACTTGCGTCTCTCTGGGGCCTCCTCAAGGTCGCAGGTTGTCTAAGCTTGTTGCCTTGGTGCCTTGCCTCGGAGCATTTCTCAGCACCCAAGGCTCACAACGCCACCAGGGCCATGGATGATCCAGGCGGCATTCGAACCCACCCCGCTTTCTGTGTCCAGCGCGACGGGCAGCCCAGTGGTGGTAGGCGTCAATGGTGCAACTCCTCCTCTCCCTCCTCCTTCTCCTCTCCCTTCTTCCCCTCATCGCTGTCCCCATCTTCTTCCCCTCCTGTTTATACCCTCTCCTCTTGGATCCACTCACCCCCACTTCCCGCTTTCCCCACCTCTCCTTCTCTCCTTCTCCTCCCTGGCCCCCTCCCCCTCCCCCTCCTTGCCCTTCCACCAAGCTGCTGACCATGACGGGAAACAACTGGTACTGGTAGGTGGACGCCGCAGCGATCGACATGTGGTCAAGTTGGGGGGCTGCTGTGCGAGGGTGCCGCTGCTGCTGAGGAGGAGGCTTCTGCATCCACTTGTGCAGCAACTGGAGCTGTTATCACTCGTTCACGAATGCCGAGACGCTGCCGCCACCTTTGCCAGCGCCGCTGCCTGTGCCAGCGCGCACCATTCCCACCCCCGTTCTGGCGGAAGAAGCTGGAGGTGTGGGCAAGTGTAGCGAGTATGCCCTGGGCTTTGAGCCGCCCCCTCGGCTGCATTCAAGTTGCAAGTGCCACGGACGCACCTCTGGAGCTAGAGCCACAATGGTTACGGGGCAGGAAGAGGAGGAGGAGGAGGAGGAGGAGGAGGAGGAGGAGGAGGAGGAGGAGGAGGAGGAGGAGGAGGAGGAGGAGAGGAGGAGAGGAGAGGAGGAGGGAGGAGGGAGGAGGAGGAGGAGGGAGGAGGAGGAGGAGGAGGAGGAGGAGGAGGAGGAGGAGGAGGAGGAGGAGGAGGAGGAGGGAGAGGAGGAGGAGGAGGAGGAGAGGAGGAGGGAGGAGGAGGAGAGGAGGAGGAGGAGTAGGAAGAGGAGGAGGAGGAGGAAGAAGAAGAGGAGGAGGGAGAAGGTGGTGGAGGAGGAGGAGAAGGTGGAGGAGGATGAGGACAACGCTGACGAGGACGGAGAGGAACGGGAGGGTCTTTACCATCCTGCTCCTCCTCGCCCCCTTCCTCCTGCTACGTGCCCTGCAGAGGCCTCCAGACACCTCCGGGACCATCAGAAAATATTAGTAAACCTCGGACGCCCTTCGTCGTCGTCGTCGTCGTCGTCGTCGTCGTCGTCGTCGTCGTCGTCGTCGTCGTCGTCGTTGTCAGGACTGTCGCGGCTCCACCTGGGGCTCTCCGAGTGCGAGATCGGTGCGGAAGCCGTGCAGTGCCTGGCCAAGGCCACTCCCTCGCGGAGAAGGGGGAGGACATACGACCGCCAGCATCCAGACTTGAAGTATCTCATGCGCACGGCAGGTTCGCGTCGTGTTGACGCTGCGGCGACACCTTTGAAGCTAGTCAAGCTTGAGCGCTGCCGCTGGCACATAATCGGACGATCTGCGCTAGCGGAGAGCCGCGATCGCTCAAGCCTGAACGATCCACGTTGTGTCAGAAACCGACGCGCAGGTTGTCACGACACGAACCTGCCTTACTTACCGGAGATCGCAACCATGGATCAAGGGGGCGTGGATTAGCGACGGGTCCCACTTCCTTGGGAAATCGAGGATTTCCGCCGCCGAAGGAGGCGGCACTGTCCGCATTTTGGGGAAAGTACCTCCCCCGATCCATGTTTGCGCGCCCCCGATCCTTTAACCTCCAAAGCTGAGGGCGTGAGCCGAGATGGTACGCGACAGTTGGCGGCGAGAGCGAGGGTGTTCCTTGCCCCCCGGCAGTGCAAGAGCTCCGGCCGTCGGAGCTTTCACGGTTTGTTAGAGACGCCTGGTGTGCTCGAGCTGGACGATTCCACATGCGACGCTAGCGCCAACGTTCTAGCCTCCAGCCGCCATGCGCACTTCCTCATGCGATATGCGCCGTTGTCGTGGCGACGCTGGATCCCGATTAGGAGCCGCGCGCAACGCTGCCCTCGCAGACTGAAGCACCGGCGCGAAAACACAACGCATAACCACGTAATCATTGAAAAATCATGCACCCAATTCGGGAACCATTCGGGCACAGTTCGGGCGCCACCACTTACCGGGGCCCGTTCGCCCACGATCAGAGGGATCCAGGTAATATCGCAAGGGATTGCTGCTCTCGCCCCCCATGTTCAGTCTGGTCACGTATTAGTCGCGACGCCGAGCTCCATCGCGGCGGCGACGTGGGGCGCATCGAGAAAGCGTGTTGAGTTGAGGCACGTGTAAGCGAGTGGGCGTAATTTTCCACCCAGCGAGAAGAGACCCAATACATTCTGTATCAAAACGTTGTTGGCATTCGTGCTCATTGACCTCCGCTCCCTCCCCTCCCAAGCGCCCTCCCATTCGCTCTCCCTCTTTCCCTCTTCCCCTGCTCATGGGAGATCTTTGATGGTTGTCACAATCGAACCTGCGCCAGTTTGGCTTTGGGGTCTTGCGAGCACCGCTTTTTTGAGGCCTTCCTCTGTTCCATCATCGGGGCAGGGTCTCTGCCGCCCAATGCTGCCAGTGCTGCTGGAAGCTCCAAGCAGCAGCTTGTTGGTCGAATCGGCGTCGTAATTAAGCATATGCGGGATCTCTGAGATTGGGGCGCACGGGGTTTCCTTCTCGGCTCCTGGCATCGCTCCTGCAACCTGCCCTTTGAAGAAGCGCGGCTTGGCCACAAGACATGGTCTCTTGGCAGGATCGTGCGGTGACGCTATGTGCTGTGGAGCGCGTGCTGGATGCCTGGCCCGCCACAGGATCCGCAGAATCAGTGCAAGAGCTGAGCTGGAGTGACCCCTCGGGCTTCGGCTTGCGACTCTATGACTTCCAGAGCATGGAGTCGCCACTCGATCACTCAAGCGTGTGGCGGATAGTGGCGGTGATGACGCCGAATTCGGGCAGCGGCGGCGATGAGGACGGCCGTGGCGTGGGCTGCGGCAGTGGCGATGGCAACGCCCGCGGGCCCCTCGAGGCGCTGCCAGGTCGAGTTGCCGACCTCCATCTCGGCCTGCGCGGCTGCGGGCTCGGAGCCGGAGGCATGCGGTCAACGGCGGGAAGTTGGCCAGACAGTGATGCCGAATACCATGACGGTTGATGAAAGCGATGACGATAATGGTGTTGCTGCAGCTGATGATGATCGTCGTAGCCATGACAATCTTGCTATGATGATAACGGGGATGACGACGACGATATTGACGCTGATGAGGCCGTATGGATCAGGCAGGCAGGGCCATTGTCCTCATGGGGTCGGTGGGGTCACACAGGGCCCCGAGCATCAAATCAGTCTCCATTCAAGCTGCCAACGCTTTCACGATACTCTGGCTGTGCACCCCTGCATGCGTCTGTGGCGGCATGACGGTTACGTGAAATGCAAGCAGCACCCGTCGTTCGAGCGCCCTTCGTTTGCAGTTGTACACTGTGCGAGTGTGTGTGTGTGTGTAGCACTTGTACTCCCCATCTTGTTTTCAAGAACATTGGCGGATTTTGCGTTGCACGCGCATGGATTGCATGGCTTGGACGGCTGACCCCCGTGGCCGATCAGGAGGTTGAGAGGGTGGGGGGGATGGCCCCAAGTGTGCCTGGAAGCGGAGTAGTCGGAAAAAGGGAGGGGAGAGTCCCAAGTAAAGAAGGGCAGGAGGGGGGCGGGATGCGGCGGAGGCGACGCGTGGAGGAGGGAGGAGGAGGGAGGAGGAACGGCGTCGAGGAGGCGGAGGCGGAGGCGGCGGGGGAGGCCCTGGCCGCCCAATCCGATGCCCTGGCCGCCCAGGCCCGCCCATCCAGCCGCGAGAGCGGCCGCCCTGCCCTCCCCGCGCGCGCCCGCGCCAGGCGCGCGCGCCCTGGCCGCCGCGCTGCCGCGCCTCTCGGCGTGCGCGGCCCTGTGCCTCGACCTTGCAGGCGCTCGGGGCGGGCGGAGGGAGGGAGAGAGAGAGGACAGGCCGGCCACAGCTGGTGGAGCGTTGGTCCTCTAAGCGCCCCCCCGTCCTTTCTCCTGGGGGGCCCCTCAGCTCCGGGTCCGCTCCCAGAGAGAGCTTCGACACATCGGGCTCCCCCAGGGGGGTTGGGGGGCGCAGCTCGCCCATGCGTGTGGGGCTGGTCGGGGGATGGACGGAGAGGATCGGATCGGGTCGGCTCGGCCAGCGGGCACGCCTGGAGCCTCGTGGCCGTCTGGGGGGGGGAGGGAGGAGGGAGGAGGGGGGAGGAGATGTGCGTGGGGGGGGTGTGGGAGGGCGAGAGCGGGGGAGGGAAGGCTGCGGGGGCTGGCGGGAGTGACGCGGAGAGGTGATGGAGACGGGGTGCGGGGAGGGGACGGAGGGGCGAGGGGAGGAAAGGGACAAATGGGGGAGAGGGCTACGGGAGGAGGGAAATGGGGCGGGGTACTGAGGAGGTTGGGAGGAGAAGGAGTGGGGCGGGAGATGGGGGGAAGGGCGATGGGGGAGGATGGATAGGGGAGGACTGTTAGGATGAGAGGAGGTGTGTGTGTAGGTGTGTGTGTGTGCAGGAGGAGGAGGAGGAGGGGACGACGATGATGATGATGGTGATGGGGAAGGTGATGGTGATATTGATGATGCCGATGCTGATGCTGATGCTGATGATGCTGCTGCTGATGATGACGACGGTGATGGTGATAGAGATAGTCATGGTGCTGATGCTGGTGGTGATGATGCTGATGCTGTTGCTGCTGATGATGGTAATGATGAGGATGCTACTGAGGGTGATGATGACTACGACGACGGAGATGGTGATGGTGATGGCGATAGTGATGGTGATGGTGCTGGTGCTGGTGCTAGAGATGGTGATGGTGATGCTGATGATGCTGCTGATGATGATGCTGTTGATGCTGCTGCTGCTGATGATGCTGCTGATGATGACGACGACGGAGATGGTGATGGTGGTGATAGTGATGGTGCTGGTGCTCGTGCTGGTGCTGGAGATGGTGATGATGATGCTGATGATGATGCTGCTGCTGATGATGATGATGATGATGATGCTCATGCTGATGGTGATGGTGATGGTGATGGTCATGCTGAGGATGATTAGGATGATGATTCTGATGATGACGACGATGATGATGCTGATGATGATGATGATGATGATGATGATGATAGTGATGATACTGATGATGACGATGGTGATAATGATGATGGTGATGGTGATGCTGCTGCTGCTGATGCTGCTACGGATGCTGCTGCTGTTGCTGCTGCTGCTGATGATGCTGATGCTGCTGCTGATGATGATGATGCTGATGATAATGATACTGATGATGATGATGATGATGATGATGATGATGATGATGATGATGATGATGATGATGATGATGATGATGATGATGATGATGATGATGATGATGATGATGATGATGATGATGATGATGATGATGATGATGATGATGATGATGATGATGATGATGCTGACGCTGATGCTGATGCTGATGCTGATGCTGATGCTGATGCTGATGCTGATGATGATGATGATGATGATGATGAAGAAGAAGAAGAAGAAGAGGAATAATATTAATACTAATAAGAAGAAGAATAATAATAATAAGAAGAAGAATAATACTAATAAGAAGAAGAATAATAATAAGAAGAAAAATAATAATAATAATAATAATAATAATAACAATAATAATAATACTAATAATACTAATAATAATACTAATAATAATAATAATGATAATAATAATAATAATAATAATAATAATAATAATAAGAAGAATAAGAATAAGAATAAGAATAAGAAGAATAACAAGAATAAGGTAAGGATGATGGTGATGATGATGATGATGAGGAGGAGGAGGAGGAAGAGAGAGGAGGAGGGGAGGAGGAGGAGGAGGAGGAGGAGGAGGAGGAGGAGGAGGAGGAGGAGGAGGAGGAGGAGGGGGAGGGGGAGGACGAGGACGAGGAGGAGGGCGAGGACGAGGACGAGGAGGAGGGAGGGAAGACCACAGGGGGGAGGAAGGAATACTTTCCCCATCCACAAGCGGGAAGGCCGAGGGAAGGATATCGGAGAGGAGCGGGCGGGGCAGCGAGGTGAGGGCGCACGGCGGGTGGCCCGGCGGCGGGTTGACGGCGGGAGGTGGAGGCGAAGGCCGAGTGAGGCATGTGTGCATGCAGCGGGCTGCGAGGCCACCCGCAGGGGCGCGACGGTGACCACGCTGCGCGCTCCGCCGTCTGGGCCGTAGAGGCGTCCTTCTCCAGGGGGTTGCGCGGAAGCGCGAAGAGAACCGGCCTGCGCGCTTCGCTCGGCGCGAGGCGCGCACCGGCGACCCAGAGGAGGCACGCATAACGCTCTCTCCCCCCCCCTTCCCTCCTGCTTGCTCCCTCTTCTGCCCTCCTCCCCTCCCTCTTCCTACCATCCTCCTCGGGGAGGGGTAGGGGAAGGAATGGGACAAGGAGGAGGGAGTGAGTCACAAGCTTGAGGAGGAGGAGAACCAAAATGGACCCAGAGGAGGATGAGGAGGAGGAGGAGGAGGAAGAGGAGGAGGAGGAGGAGGAGAAGGAGGAGGAGGAGGAGGAGAAGGAGGAGGAGGAGGAAGAAGTGGAGGAGGGGAGGAGGAGGAGGAGGAGCATAATGATGATGATGATGAGGAGGAGGAGGAGGAGGAGGAGGAAGCTGGCGGAATGCACAGCCTTAAGGATGGCTGGTCCCTGTGTGTAATAATTACCGTGTTGACGCGGGTTCTCGAACAGACGATGTGCAAGCATAAGCTGCCGATCTTATCGGCCACGCGGCCGGGTCAGAAGTAAACGAGGTTTACAAGATGCCCCCCTTTTTGGGGGGGCAACATTGAAGAACTCCGCGTGTGTAGAAATAGCAGGTCGCAGAGAGATACGGGAGGGTGGGGCGGCATGCTCGGCGTCGCCCCAATATACTTATACTATATGTTCGTCGCCCCCTCAGGGGCGACGCGCGCACCGAGAAATCTTATAGTATATGCGTCGTGGCGGGCGCTTTCTGGCCACACCGCTCGGAAAACGATATACTACAAGATGGGTATACTAGATGTTCGGGTCGGACGCGCGCCTCCAAGGAGGACATCTAGTACTAGTACGTTTTTGTGCGTCCCATGCAGGGTAGCGAGGGAAAGGGACGGGGGCAGGTTGGATGGGAAGAGTGAACAACAAGCACGGGAGGAGGGCGCGCTGCAGCGAGACGGGGGCAGGGCCGAGCAGGGGAGAGAGCCCCCGGCCATGACAGTGCGGATACCAAAGGGCACAGCGGACGGGGTAGCCGCGGAGGAGCGCGACGCGAGAGGGAGGAAAGGGCGACGAGACAAAGAGAGACGGACGGCCCACGGAGAGGCGAGGGCTCCAGGTGCAGCGATGCGTGGGACGGGGATCGAAAGGTCCAAGGCTGCGCCCCAGCAAGAGGGGAGGGGGCGGTCGGTGCCGCCGGACATGGGCAGGGGAGTCTCTCGCGAGGCCTGGCCTGTCCTACAAGTGGAGTGGTGGAGGTAGCCGGATGAGTAGGAAGAAAGCAAGAAGACCGGGGTAATAAGAAAGTCCTGGCATGATTGGTCAAATTATAAAGGGTGACAGATCAGCATGAGGGGTCAACGCATGGAGAACGAGAGCCCCATATGACCAGAAGACATGTAGAATCGATCTCACTGGGAGCGTAACTGTCTGGACGTCGGAACTGCAGATATACAGTGACAGGGGTGGCATGATTTATCCGCCCCGTCGTGCCCCAATAAGCAGAGAGCAAAGTAGGAACGAAACTGGGCATAACAAAGTGTGGCTCGTTTTGTTTGCTTGGTTTGTAGCTATATCAGCCGATGAGGAGGTGAAGGGTAAGGCGAGCGACGGAACGAAACTTTCGATTAAGACTGTGGCCGAACAAGGCGAGATCACGGCCAGATAGCGAACACACGCAGGGCAGGGCGAGCATGCGGGTACCCGATAGTCGAGAGGAATAATATCACACGGAGGGGAGGAGCAATGAGGGGAATGGGCCCAACGTTGCAGGGGGCAAGATGGGGAAGAGAGAGAGAGAGAGAGAGAGAGAGAGAAAGAGCAAGGGAGAGAAAAAGGGAAGAGAGGCCTGCCGAGCGTAAGGCAGGGCTGAGAAGGATGGGAGCATGGGCGGGTAGCCAGGAATGAAAAGGAGATGATACGTTAGGAGAAAGGCAAATCGAACAAGGGGGGTGATGATGTGGACGCAGCACCACGCGGCGTGCATTATCGATCTCACGGAGAGCGTAGCGGTGTGGACGCCGGCAATGTAGTTGGAAGAGCCGGGGGTTATGAGATAGGCAACGCATGGTATCGTGCGCAAGGCAGAAGTCGAGAGGGATAAAGGATCGGGCGGCAAGCCAGGGAAGAGGAGGATGGAGCAAACAGCGAGAATCAGGCAGGCATAATGAGGGTTGGTGCAAGGACAGGGCAGGTGGGCGTCAGATCGGCAAAGGGACTGCTATCCTGCGTGAAGGAAGGCCCGAGAAGGATGAGAGTTCGGGCGGGCAGCCATAAAGGAAAAGCAAGGGATAAGTGCGGAAATCAGGTAAGCAGATTCGGGGTGATGATGTGACCGCAGCGCCACAGGACATGTAGAGTCGATCTTATTGAGAGCGTGGCGGTCTGGACGTCGGCACTGCATATAGAGTGACAGTTGTGGCGTGATTTGTCCGCCCCGTTATGCCCCCACTGCCAGCGAACAAATTAGGGCTGAGACTGGCTACAAAAAAGTGTGGCTGTTTTTATTTGCTTGGTTGCTGCTCTCACAGCCGATAGGGAGGTGAAGGGGAGGCGAGCAGTTGCGGAGCATGCGCCACAACCGAGCTTGTAGGTGTCAGGTTAGCCTGGCCAGTTACCGAATCAACAGATGGCATGTCCGATTTTCGGTGCGAAGACAAGGGCTGTTCCAGTTCAGTATGGATAAAGCTAGGGGGAGGA